AACATTAATTTGGGTAAGTAGAAGATCCACCCAAGTACTTTTACACCACCCCAAGTCCTTCATGGTACATTCAAAGTATTAGATGCACTCTTATGGCAACTCCCAATTTATGGCCCTGTTCTAGAAGAAACTGTCAGGGCCTTTTGTATCTATTTACCACCAAAAACTATATGGAGCATAAAATTAACTGGGGGGATGAAGAACCTCTATTACACTACCAACAAAATGGTGGGTTCCTCTACCCTGCCACAGTATAGAGTTTGGTTATAAAGAACTCATTGCCTCCCTCCACCTAAAACATGCCCATTCACAATAGCTGTGGCACAATTTTTACCTACAGCTCACTGCCCTTGACCCCAAGTGGCTTTCAAAACTTGGCAGCTGGGGGAAATTATGGGTTACCAAAAGTATCTTCCAGTTTGCCAAAAACCCAATCCAAAGAGTATGCCAGCTGGTGCTTGATTCAGGAGGAAGGCATCCAAATGAGAGATACTGTCTTAACACACCTCCATGTACACTTATATGGGAAGCTGGGAGCCTACTACTTAGAAACTGAGATTAAATAGAAAACATGACCTGGCTGTACCCTTAAGGACATTCAGTCTGAGGCCTCAGGACCAGATAAAGAGCTCCTACAATTACTTGCACCCAGACCAATAATTACTCACAGTCAAGGTCCCTTTGCCCACTAGGAATATGCTCTTGCTCTTCCTCCTCAGTCCACATCTACTCAGCCACAGACATTCTGGCACCCCCACCTTGCCCAAAGTCAAATGACACTATTTTCAGGAAGTGGCCCCTCATTGTGGTAACCTGTGATGAAGTACAAATCAGCCCCCAGGTTCAGTTCAGGCTTCCAGAACTCCATATTCTGTCACCTGTCCAAATCCTCAATTGGCAAAGGAAGGGTTTCAAATAGTGCCTCACTCCGGTGGTATTATTCTCAGAGAACGTGAAAGGAGATTTCAACCAGAGAGCAAAAGTGGGGAAGGAAGGACAAAAATGAATGAATAGGGTCAAGTCAGAATGAAGGGGGAAAGCAGGATCCAGGGTAAAACTCCAGAAGAGAAGTGGCATCCCCTCTCTCTACCAGAGGTGAGTCAACAATCACAACAATTTCTGGAGAGAATGGCAAACTGATCCAGTTCCTGACAAGCTCAGGAGTCTGAGATGCAAGCCAAATCTAGCCTATTTAAGCAGAACATGAATTTATTAAAATAATATTGGTGGGATAACATCAAAAAGCTTCTGCACAGCATAGGAAAACAATCAACAAAATGAAAAGACAGCTCGCAGAATGGGAGAAGATAGTTTTAAACCATATATTTGATAAAGGAATAATATTCAAAGCAAGAAATTCCTGTAACTCAAAAGCAAAAACAAAGACAAAACAGTGATTAAAAATCTGACAGAAGATCTGTGCACCTGGGTGGCTCAGTTGGTTGAAAAAACTGACATAAGATCTGAGTAGACATTTTTCCAAAGACGACATACATATGGCCAACAGGTATATGAAAAAGATGCTCAACATCACTAATCTTCAGGGAAATGCAAGTTAAAATTATAATGAGGAGTACATAGGTGGCCCAGTGGGTTAGGTGTCTGACTTTGGCTCAGGTCATGATATGGTTTATGGATTCGAGTCCCACATCGGACTCTTTGCTTACAGCTCAGAACCTGGACCCTGCTTTGGATTCTGTGCCTCCCTCTCTACCCCTCCCCAGTTCCCTCTCTCTCTGCCCCTCCCTGGTTCTCTCTGTCTCAAAAATAAGTAAATATTAAAAAAATTATAATTACAGTGAGATACCACCTCACACCTGTAAAAGTGGCTGTTATTAAGAAAAAAGGGGGTGCCTGGGTGGCTCTGTTAGTTAAGCTTCCGACTGTTGATTTTGGCTTGGGTCATGATCTTCGATTTGTGAGTTCTAGCCCCACCTCAGGCTCCAGGCTGGGGCCTGCTTGAGATTCTCTCTCCCCCTCTCTCTGCCCGTTCCCCACTCCGTCTCTCTAAATAAACTGAAAAAAAATGCTGGTGAGGATGTGGAGAAAAGGGGGGGAACCTTTGTTCATTCATGGGAATGTAAATTGGTGCAATGCATGGAAAACAGTATGGAGTTTCTGCAAAAAAAGTAAAAGTAAATCCTGTTTCTGGGTATATACCCAAAGGAATTGAAATTATGATCTCAGGGGCTCGGTCGGTTAAGTGTCCGACTTTGGCTCAGGTCATGATCTCACAGTTTGTGGGTTTGAGCCCTGTGTCGGGCTCTGTGCTGACAGCTAGCTTAGAGCCGGGAGCCTGTTTCAGGTTGTGTCTCCCTTTCTCTCTGACACCCTGCTCTTGCTGTCTCTCTCAGAAATAAATAAAACACTAAAAAAAATTATGATCTCAAAGAGATATCTGCACTCCCATGTTCATTACAGCATCATTCACAGTAACCAAAACATGGAAGCAACATAAATGTCCATCAATGCACAAATGGTTAAAGAAAATATGGTAACACACACACACACACACACAAATATTATTCAGCCTTTAAAAAGAAGGAAGTCCTGCCATTTGCAACAACATGGGTGAACCCAGAAGACATGCTAGGTGAAATAAGCCAGACAAAGAAGGAAAAGTACTATATGATACTACTTCATGAAGAACTTGGGGCACCTGAGTGGCCCAGTCAGTTAAGCGTCCGACTTCGGCTCAGGTCATGATCTCGCGGTTCGTGCTGGCAGCTCAGAACCTGGAGCCTGTTTCAGATTCTGTCTGTCTGTCTCTCTTTGCCCCCTCCCCAGCTCATGTTCTGTCTCTCTCTGTCTCAAAAATAAACTATAAAAATTTTTTAAATAAATAAAAAAATAAAAATAATCAAACTTAACAGAAGCAGAGAATAGAATGGTGGTTGCCAGGAGCTGGGGGGAGGGATAAGTGGAGGGGTAGTAGTCAAAGGGTACAAAGTCTCAGTTATAGAAGTCCTAAGAGTGCCCGGGTGGCTCAGTCAGTTGAGTATCCAACTCGTGATTTTGGCTCAGGTAATGATCTCTTGGTGGTGAGATCGAGCCCTGCATCAGGCTCAACACTGAGTGTGGAACCTGCTTGGGATGTTTTCTTTCTCACACATTCACAAAATAAACATTTAAAAAATGTTACTTAAAAAAAAAGGATAAGTCCTAGAGATCTACTGTACAGCACAGAATCTATAGTTAATACTGTATAATATACTAAAAAACTTCCTAAAAGCGTGTCTCCTGTTAAATGTTCTTATCACAGAATAAATTACAATAAAGAGGAGGGGAGGGAATTTTTGGAAGGGATGGATAGGTTTATGGCATAGTCTGGTGATGGTTTCACAAGTATATACTTACCTCCAAAACCATACGTACAACTAATTTTATGTCAATTTTACGATAAAGTAATTCCTTTAAAAAGAATATTGGGAAGTGCATAGAGCTGTAAAAGGAACAGAGAACCAAATTTGGTGGCTAATAACCAGAAACAATGTTCAGAATCATGCTGCAGACCTGTTTGGCATAAACACTGCTGCATTCATTACCGTAGCAGACACTAAGGACACCAGGCTCTGGATGCTGCTGCTAGAAATAAGATGCAGCTTCACCGCTGCAACTTCCCATTAGTAGACAAAGACTTTACATAGCCCCTGCTTCTTTGCAGCCTCATCCTTAACCCAGAATCTGAGGCAGATGTGTTTGACCTCACTAAAACTCTTTGCCCATGCCCTAGCTGCAAGAGAGGCTGGCACCTTAGTCCATTTGGGATGCTGTCACAGAATGCCATAGACTGGGTAGCTTATAAACAACAGAAATTTTCACAGTTTTGGAGGCTAGAAGTACAAGATCAGTGTGCCAGCCTGGTCAGATAAGGGCCTTCTTTCAGGTTGCAGACTTCTCATTGTGCCCTCATGTGGTGGCAGGGGAGAGGGAGCTCTCTGAGGCTTTTTTAGAAAGGCACTAATAAGGGCTCTATCTTTATGAGCTAATCACCTCCCAAAGGCCCCACTTCCAAATACTATCACCTTGAGAAATAGATTTTCAACATAGGAATTTAGGGGAGACACAAACATTTAGACCTGAATAAGGAAGTTCTGGTCTTTTCAGCCTCCATAGTGAGATTCCAGTTTTGCCTTGGAGAGGATTCCTAAGCCTCCATAAGAATGCTAGGTTTATATTGCCCTACCCTAGGGAATGCCTGAGTGGCTGAGTTGGTTGGGCGTCCGACTTCAGCTCAGGTTATGATCCTGCAGTCTGTGAGTTCAAGCCTCGTGTCAGGCTCTGCACTGACAGCTCAGAGCCCAGAGCCTGCTTCAGATTATGTCTGTCTCTCTCGCTCTCTCTGCCCCTCCCCCACTCACACTCTGTCTCCAAAATAAAATAAAAACATAAAATATACACTGCTCTACTCTACCATACCTTACCTTACCTACTCTCCACCACTTTTCTAGCCCCTTCCCTCCCTGCCCCTCTCCATTTTACCAAGCACAAATCAGGCTCTAAATCAATAGCAAGCTAAAGCCTTTCTAATACTTCTATCTTCTAACACTTGCTATCCTGCTGCCTGAAATGCAATTCCTGATACCACTGTGTCTCATGGACTCCTTATTCTCCAAAACTTAGTTCAAACATAACTTTTCCTATTAGACCAATTAAAGCTCTTCAAGTATGCCAATGCCAGGAAATAGGTGTCCATCCAGATAAGGGGCCTTTTTCACCTGCACTAACCTGAAGTGTCTGTCAGTATCCTGATTCCAGCTGGAAGCCATTCAAAACCCAGGAGTCGGAGAGGAGCAAGAGAATGGGGAGGGAGGTTTGTGATCACTGGGTTCTCTCTCCCTCCCTTCTGACACAGGCATTGCAAATTGACTTCTGAGATCAGATTTCAGTGGCTAGGAGAGACCCCTGCCATGTGCCTGGCTGGCATGGAGGCCAGTGACTCAGAAAACCAAATAGTCCCACTTGTTAAGTATTTATAATAAGTCTGCTTCTTGTTTCAGACCAGAAGGAACCAGTGCCCACTAGGCTTCCCCCTATTATCTCAGAAGATGGGAATTATTCTGTGCACCAGAATAGCCAGACAAGGTATCATGAAGCTGTAAAGAAGGTGTTGTTAAAGACATGTAAGTATCTTGGAGTGGGCAGTATGCTAGAGGCAGAACAGATATGCCTGAGTTCATAAAGAATACCTGGGTTGTGGTGGGGCATGATTTTAGGGCAGGGGAAAAGCGGGGGGAAAACAGCCAAGAAGGGAGGCTGAGAAAAGGAGGGAGAAAGTAGACTTGAATGGGGTGAGCAAGATAAAACAAAAATTGAATCAGACTAGAAGCAGAAGCCCTATATTTTAGTCCTAGTTTTTTTAAGTGTCTCACCTTCGGTAATCACTTAACACTTACTGATTTGTTAAGGAAAAAAAAAAATGCCTATCCTACCAATCTTACAGAACTATGAGTATCACAACAAAATGAGACAATTTAAGAGAGTACTTTTTATATTATATGCTATGCCTGTGAGTAGTGGTAGACCAAGCACTAGCTTTGGAATTTGAATGGAGTTTAAACTTCAAACAAGTTGTGTGACCTTGGACAAGTTCCTTTAACCACGTAAGCTCTCTGAACCATGTGAAAATGGGAATCATATTCTAGCATTGTTATAAAAGTTAGAGAAAATGCATCTAGGACAAACTACTGATACATGTGAGAACTAGGAATCTTCAGAGAGTTATGCCATGTAAAGAAAATCAGTCCCCAAAAGATCACACACTGTATGATGCCATTTATATAACATTCTTACAATCACAAAATTATAGAAATGAAGAACACATTATTGACTACCAAGGAGGGGATTGGAGAATATGACTATAAAAGGCCAATTCCCTTCCCCGTTGGGGGAAATTAAGTAAAGGGTACACAGGATTTATGTTATCATTTCTTACAACTATATGTGAATTCATAATTATCTCAAAATTAAAATCTACTTTAGAAAACTAAGATACTTTCAGAAATTTAAAGAGACATGTGTGAAAAAGAGTATCTAAGAGTTATTTTTCATAGCAAATTCTTTTTAAGAGCTTGCTATTAATAGAAAAACAACTAAGTCAAAAATGTAACATCTGCTCAATGGTATATTAGGGATTTTTTTAAAATAATGATTATAAAGACTATATAGTCAGGATATTGGGCTATAATTCTAAGTTTAAAGAATATACAAATATTATATAGTGGTATAATTAGATTTATCCAAGTAAAGAATAAAAAAAAAAAAAAACCCTAAGTCTGATACTATTCAAAATCTTAAAAACACCTAATACATTTAAAACATAATAGACACTTGGTAAGTGAATCTATTAGCAGTACCTAAATATTAGGTATTCATTGCTGAGTTTCAGAGAATTACTTGAAATGAGCAAAGGAAGCAATTTTTTTAGAGACAGAAGGGAATGAGAATGATTAAGCTTGGGAGCAAGGGGTTAGAGCCCGTAGACCCATCCTGCACATTTCCCTAAGGGGTTGGCCGCTTATTTTTCCACCATCTTAGCACTTGGGAAATCTCTCTTGGAGAGAGCTTAGTAACAGCAGGAAGAACCAAGACTGATTCAACTGACCATGAAGGGTGTGAGATGCTGGAATCCGGAAGTGAAGCTGGGTGTGGTGACCAGATTCCCAGGACTTCTCAGCACCTGGTCAGGCCCAGTTGCTAGGCTGGGCTTGTGCTGCCACGAGAAAGCAAAGAACTTGAAAAAATTGGATAACCTGCCCTCCCCCAACATTCAGTCCCCAATCAGGTCTTCAGAGTCCCCTTGACTGATGCTCAGAACTTCAGCTTCTGGCGGTCCCATGATCCAGGAGTACGCCCAGAGGAAACCATGCCATGGATCCAGAGCCCCCACCACTGCCTCATTAAAAGCCCAATGACCAGGTTAGGCTGAAATCGGTGAGGGTGGGGAGGCTAAGGGAAGTACTCCATCCTTAGAGACTGCTTCACTCTACTAAGAGTTAGGGAATAGAAGACAAAGTTTAGGTCTTACCAGGAAAAGCTGGTCCCAGAATCTGGGCAATGTTGGCATTCAAAGGAGTTAAAGATTTGTTTGTGTCTATGAATTTCATCTTGTGGACAGGACTTCTGGAGCAAGCACAAGACAAATGTCTATAGGGGTTCAGGGATGTTTCCACTCCCTTCATTGCTGCCTCCACCTTCCAACCACCATTCATAGGCAGCAGCCCTACTTCCTCATTACTGCTCCTGCCCTTTCTGCCATGAGGCAGTCTTGGGAGCTGCGTTTAAGGACACCACCACACACACACCAGCCTGGCCTGGCTGAATCTGAGACCCTCTCTCTCTTCCAGGTTTATGGATCACTCTATTCTGAGTGACAGAAACTTCAGTCTGTATTGAGCAGGATGTGTTTGCAAGATGGACTATGGAAGCAGGCAAAAAAGGAGAAAACGGGAGAAGGTGTCCTGGTTCCACTGAGGGACTAATGGGAGAGGATCTCAAGAGTAAACAGATTGGATTAGAAGTCACTTGCGTGCACTGGCAGTGAGGGGAAGGGAAATTATTCCAATACCCAAATTCCTCTGACATCAGATGTGTGGGAGCCAGAACTTGGTGTTTGGTCTGGAAGGGGCCAGAGTACAGGAAAGACCACTAAGGGGGTCCTTGACCTCATGAATGGCAGATATCTGATTGACAGGTCTGGGAAGACACACAATGGTTCTCATGATGCTGAAGGGCCTAGGGTAGCCATGCTCTCTGAAGACATTGCAGCTTCACCTTGGCAGGAAGAAAACCAAAGGAAGCCCTCAACCACAGAGGAAAGGCTACCTCCTATCCCTGGCTCTGCCACTTCTGACCCAACCCACGGCCCAGAACATCTTCAGAGAGCTGGGAATTTTACAAAGAGTTTGATTTTATTGATATTTAAATATATTAAATATTTCACTGAAATACATGGTATACCACCCTCCCCCCCCCCCACAGTGGTTACATTGTAAAACCAAAGTCCTTGGGCCTCCCACGCACTGACTCCCCCACCAACTGGTGAGAAAGGAGGCAATGGTAGCCCAGGAAAAGGGCATGGCTGGCACTGTGGTATGGGGATTCAGGGTATTGGACAGGTCCCTCCCACTTGACAAGAAGCAAAGACAAATCACCCAAGACTGAGTTCCCACTCTGGTCTCCTTACACCCCTACTCCTACCCCAGGGCTCCAAGCAGTCCCTTTCCTATCCAGGGATATGTCTGGAGAGATGGGAGTTGATCTTCTCTCTGGACCAACTAGTCTTTTCCCCTCCTCCTGCCACAGCTAATGAAGTGCCTGATGGCCCACTTGACTGATGCATGAAGATCCCCCAAGGCAGGCAGTATAAGCCAGAAACCAGGCCTCTGCAAGGAGCTGGAGTCAAGAAAGGACATGTGGAAGGGCAAGGGTGCCACCCACCCCTTCCATTCCCCAAACTCAGCAGCTCTGGAACCCTCTTCTCTGTCTCTCTAATCACCTTTAAGACAAAATGATCTTCAAGCAAAATTCAGGCTAATGCCTCTGGCTTAAATAGCTACAGACAGAGAAACCAAGGCACCAACTAAATCAGGCCTGAGACAAGGAGGTTGCAGGGAAAGGAGTAAAAGGAAGGCAGAGACAGGAAGGGAATCTAAAGTCCAACCTCCTGACCCTCCTTCCAGTCCTTGCAGGCTTCATGAGGACTGGGGATCCAGGACATGCTAGACTGAGACTGAAGGCTGGGGAAAGCCAAGTTTCAGGTTCCCTTGCTCCATCCCCTAGTACCAGTATCTGGGTCCTCAGAGAGATCCCATGCTATGCCAGTCCCAAAGTATACCACCAACTGGGGAGCCTAGGAAATTCCTGAGCCTCTGCCCGCCAAACCCAGACAGTTCAAGTCCATGGAGCACTGAGGCTCAAGCAGGCGCTTGGGACCCTGCCCCAAGGCAGGGAGACAGTCATGCTGCACACACGGCCCCCAAATGGCACTTAGGGATTTGGCACAAAAAGGACTCCTCTCCCCAGGGCCACCTTCCTCTTGCTGCCACATCCCATGCTACTCCTGTACAACTTAGGCGGCTCTCCCCATCCCCTGAAATCGGAAACCCTGCCTTATTCCCAGAAGATAGAGGCCCACAGGAGAGGCAAACCAGGGTGGAGAGCTGAGGAGAAGCATAAGGATACACACAGACCTGGAAACAGATACACACAAAAAAAAGGCTGACAGGCACATACATTACACAGATGCACAGGGCCTCCCCAGTGCCAAAGACCGGGGAGGACAGGTTTAGGATCAGGGTCACCATCCACACGCCCTGACCCTTTTCTATTTGGCAACAGAAGGGGTAGAGATGCTCTGCGCCCCCTTGCCAGCAGACAGCAAGAGAGCATGGGTGCAGAGTGACCTGATCCTGACTCCAGTGGGGCCCTCAGATCAAGAGTCTGGTACCACCCCACTCCTTGGCCAGCCTGCTTTCTTGGGCATCTGCAGGTGAACTTCCAGCTCCTGACCTTTTGACATCCCACATACATGCTTGCTTTCTGGCTGGGCGTTTTCACAGTACCAATGAGGCCAGATGCCCCTTTTCCTAGAGCTGTGCAGGAACTAGGGCTAAATCTAAACTGTCAAAAGTCCCTTTGTTCCCCTTTGGGGACAGATCATGGGACTAAGATTTGGCAAATGGAAACATTCCCCTGAAATATGGATAGAGCAGAGTCCCCAGAGCATCTCCTTCCTCTGCCCTGTGCCTAGGAGGGAGACCTGACTGGGGTAGGGTACCCAAGGCCAGTGCTGGGAATGCAGGCATAGCAGAGGCAAACATGGAATAGGCACTCCTCATGCCTGCCCCAGTCTTTGTACAAAATATTCCCAGGAAAAAGAGGGAAAACAAGGGCCCAGCCCTGAGTCTGTTACCCAGACAGACAGGGAAAAGGTAGGCATGGCAAGCTGCCATTTTAATCCCTGCTGTCTCTGCTGCTGCCCTGCCCCCTCCCCTGCTCCCAAAAAGCTGGAAGAGAGGAGAGGGAACAGCCCTATCCCAATTAGAAAAGTAAAAGTCACTTCCATAATCCTCTTGGTTCCCCTGTTCACCAGCCTGAGGGCAGACAAGCATAGTCCAAGCACATCCTGCTGGGGTGTTCCCTTTTGTGGTCAGCAGGGTCTGGAGGCTCGATGCCCCCTCCCATAGTGCCGCCCAGCGAGCAGAGTCCACTCAAATGCCCACCTTGGTCCTGTGAGCTGAATTTGTAGCTGGGCCCTGCTAACTGGGGGGGCCCCCATTGAGGAAGTAGGTGGTCATCTCCCCCTTGCCCTTCACCTTGACCACCCCTCGACACTCCAGCTGGTAGCCCTTGGCAGCTAGAACCTGGTACAAGTCCGTGGTCACCTGGGGGATGGGAGGGGAACCCACTTAGCCTGGGATCCTTCCTGCTGCATTTGCAGGGGTCCAGGGGTTTCTAATCATGCTAGTCCTCCCCGCCCATCCCACACACCCCCGACCACAGAACACTGCCACCCTACCCCTGTCCTGGCTGACCTGCAGAAGCCCTCTGGACCCATACCCTTCCCAACCTCTGCTCACATCCCCCTCACCTGGATTCGGTCAGGGACCCCCGTGCTGTCCATACGGCTAGAGACATTCACGGTGTTCCCCCAGATGTCATACTGTGGTTTCCGAGCCCCAATGACGCCTGCCACGACTGGGCCCATGTTCAGCCCTGCAATGGGGACAGCAGCAAGAAACTGAGACTAGTGGACGTTCCAGAGTCGGCCCAAGGAGTTCTCCCCTCTCCTGGAATCTTTAGAAGGACCCAGAGGAGAAAGTGGCAAAGGGACAAGAGAAAGTGGTTGTAAAGAATGAAAGATCTGGGCATGTCAGCTGAGCAGCTCCCCTGAGTTAAAACAGCTATTGCCACAACAGTAGCTAATCGCTCTGTGCCAACCACTCCAGTAAGCATTACGCATTCCATTATTTCATCCCTTCAACAGCCCTTACAGGTAGGTATCATCCCATTTTATAGATAACCTTGTGAAACTCAGAGGAGTTGGGTGACTTGCTAAATAAGCCAGTAGGTAGAACAGTGAGAATTCAAACCAGTGTAAGTCCAGAACCGACTCCTGCCCACCAGCTCCCAGACCATCTGAGAGGAAGTATCTCTTATCAGACTGGCCATAGATGAGGGTACAGGTACTGGAGTTTAAATAAACCTGGTTTTGAATCCTAGTTCAGCCACCTACTAGTTGTTTGACCTTGACCAAGTTATTTAATCTGAGAGTCAGTCTCTATCTGTAAAAGGGGATAATAACGTGAGAGTTAAGATGTCTTGGACAGTACCTAGCATGCAGAAGGCCCTCCCCTGTTAATATGAGACAAGATAGGTGAGGGAAAAGGACAGCCCAAAGGATTCCTGATGAGAAATCTGTGATGCCATCCCCAGCCTGATTCTGTGGTCTCACCCTGAAAGAGCCCTGGGAAAAACTTCCAGGCAAGGGGGCCATCTCACCAATCTTCATCTGGAAATTGTTGAAGGAGTGCTCGTTGATGTGCTTCATCTGCTCCATGAGCCGCATGGCATAGTCGGCCAGGGCAGTGATGTGGGAGCGGCCCGCCTGATCATAGGTGCTGGCATTCAGCCCTGAGGCAGCCATGTAGGTGCTACCAATCGTCTTGATCTTCTCCAGCTGCCGGAACCGCTCCTCGCTGATGATCTGGACAGCACAGGGAGAATTGGCTGTCAAGGCAGAGAGGCCAAACCCACCCTGCCCAATGCCCACTCGTGCCATGCCTCGGCCTCTTCCCCCTTCCCTGTTTCAACAGCTCCCCTCTTTTTAGTGAGTAAGTCCCACCTTCCAATTATTCTCAATGCAGGACTGAGGAACCTGGAAAACAGGCCTCCTTTACAAGGCAGCCATCAGAACCCCAGGCCAAGACTCAAGTATACAGCTTTAGGTCACAGAATTTTGCTCACAGAATCCAGAACCACAGAATGGGCATTAGCTGTCAATTATTCTAACCCTCATTTTTTGGGAAACTGAGTGCCAGAGGGAAGTAACTTTCCTCAAGAATAGTAAAGGAATGACCCATTCCTGACCTGGATAGTCAGGACACTTCTTCACGTTTCCTTCCATTTTCTCTATTGAGGGGCCCATCTTGCCTACTTGGGCTCAAGGGTTTCTGTCCAGTTCACTGCCTTCTTATTCAGTAACATCCACCTGGTACCTATCCTGTCCTCTCCACAGGTCCTCACGCCCTTTGCTCCCCAGCAGTGATGACCCCGCCCCACTGGGGGCGACCTCCTTGCTGCCTTGGCCAACAAGGGTCTTTGTCCTTGTTTCTGCTGTACCTACCCTTACTCCTACCCTGACATCTCTGGGTCCCATCAAACCTCCCCTCCTCCTCCCAATCCAGCCATGTCTCCAATGCTGGCCTTCCCATCCAAAGTTCTCTCCACTGCTTTAGTCCGGCTAGTCTCCCCTAGGTGCTCTGCCAGCACCAACCAACCAGATAAGTACCTCATCAAAGTCAGCGATGATTTCGTTGAGCAGCCGCAGGCACTCGACGCCCTCATTGTTTGCCTCCAGCTCCACATAGAACTCAGAAAAGTTGGCAATGGAGGCAAACATGACAGCCACACACTCACACGACTGATAGTAGAGCTCATCATTCCGGCGCTCCCGGGCCAGGAAGTGGGCAGCCACGTCCTTGGGCAGAATGTTATGCAGCAGCCTTCGGTTGTATGCCTGGAGCTCCTCCATCTCCTCCTTCTCTCCTGTTGCCTGTGGACACCACACCCATCACTCATTGCCCAGCATTCACAAGAGGTAGGTGCAGTGGCCAGTGCCTGGAGACGGGCACCAGAGGGAATCAAAGGGAAGAAGGAAGGCATGGACAGATGAGGCCTAAAAAACAGGCAAAGGCCTGAAAGGGACAGGGGCAGAATGAAGCAGGGGTTAGGGGATGGGCACATAGAAGGCTTGGGACCAGGGTGGGCTTGGGGCGGCCTGAGCCTTGGCCAGCTAACAAGATGCATTTCTGGCTTGGCCCAGGTTCTGCCCCCAGGATCCTCCCCCTCCCCCAGAGGCCCACTAGGTCACCTGAAGTTTCCAGAGGAAGTCCAGACGAGCAGTTGATTCCACCTGCTGGGCATGCAGATACAGTGCTAGAGCAAACACCAGCAGAATCACGGGGGTCATGTATTTGAGTGCCACCCTCCCTGCAGCTGGGCTGAGGGTAAACAGAGGCAAGTTCAGTGTCTGAAAGAGGCATGTGGCAGCCCTGCCCTGCCCCAGAGCCCTCACTTACCAGTCCAGCCCATCGAAGGTCTCATTGGAAGAAGCCCTGGCAGGAAGATACAAGAGACAAAGTCATCAGTTCTTCTTGGGTTGCTGGGTAGGGGCAGTTGTCAGGTTGGTTTCCATATAACACCCAGTGCTCATCCTAACAAGTGCCTTCCTCCATGCCCATCACCCCCATTCCCCTCCCCCCTCCACCCCCATCAGCCCTCAGTGTGTCCTCAGCATTCAAGAGTCTCTCATGGTTTGCCTCCCTCCCTCTCCCCAACTATTTTTCCCCTTCTCCTCCCCCATGGTCCTCTGTTAAGTTTCTCCTGTGGAACAAGATGTTTAACTCTAGGCCTGTTTCCTCATCAGTTAAAGAGGGACAAGATCTAAATACTGCACACAAAAGGTCTAGCGTGGCTCCTGGCATGGAGTAAGGCTTCAATAAATGTCACTATAATCTCTACAACCACCTATGATCTAGGTGTCACTGCCATTTTACAGATGAGGAAACTGAGGCTCACCTGCCTAAGGTCACACAGCTACCGAGCAGCAGAGTGGGATTCAAACCCAGTGGACTCCAGAGGCTTTTCCTGCTACACAAAGCTATGGGATCAGGTTTGCAGAGGAAAAGCTAATGTGGTGTCCCAAACAAAGCCCTTAAACAGGAATCAGAAGTTTTGGTTCCTAGCCAGGACTCTGCCACCAAGCAGCTGTGTGGCCTACAGGTGGTTAAGAGAATGGGTATGAAAGTACCATGCAAATGAGAGAAGGAATTCTTTAAATGTCTAGCCTAGGGGCGCCTGGGTGGCTCAGTCAGTTGAGCTGAGCGGCTCAGGTCATGATCTCGTGGTTCGTGGGTTCGAGCCCCGCGTCGGGCTCTGTGCTGACAGCCAGCTCAGAGCCTGGAGCCTGTTTCAGATTTTATGTCTCCCTCTCTCTCTGACCCTCCCCTCCTCACACTCTCGCGCTCTCTCTCTCTCAGAAATAAATAAAACATTTAAAAAAATAATAAATAAATAAATAAACGTCTAGCCTAAAGACACAAGGACTTCCCAAGCCTGGAGTTTCCTCAGGGTGACTGTTAGGGGTCATATGCTGGGAGCTCCTCTACTGCCTCCTTTCCCCCCAGAGGTGAGGAGTGAGTGGTGGCATTCCAAGGGCACAAGAGGCCTGGGCACCAGAAAAATCATAGTGACCCAGCAGGGTCAGGAAGCTTGTAGGGGATTAAAGGGGCTGAGGATAAACTCACAAGCCATGGACACCAAGCAGCAGGTCATAGTTGTCAAAGATGGTGGCTGGTGGGCCCAGCAGAAGCAGCACCAAATAGATGAGCCCGAGGACAAAGATCATTGCCAACTTCCCGATGCTACTAATGTGCAGGAAGACAGAGCTGGCCAAGAGACTCAGCAACATGTTCCCAACGAAGTACTGGGGAGCAATGGCAGAGGTGGTGTTGAATGAAGACAGAAGTCATGCCCTCTCCCACCCCATTCAGGAAGAGCCCTGCACTCCCCTGCCTGACCTAAGTTCTCCTCCACAACCTCAAACCCAAACCTACTTCACCCTCCACGGCCAGCCCCACACCACACCAGGACCCCTGGATGCTCCTCCAGTAGGGACTCTGGTGAGATCCTGGGTCCCCACTGCACATCAGCAGGCCTGGTACAGGAGAGTCAATAACTAGTACTGATCAAGAACCCCACCCCCGTCCCGCCTGAGCACGGCTTGGACACCTCAGGGAAGCTGCAAGTGGGTGCGGTGCCCTCACACAGGGGAGCATCCAGGCCCAGAGAGTAATTGAGCTGCTGCAGGTGGCAGGCAGTGATGTCAGCGGGTGTTACATTCAGCATCCGGGCTGCACAAGTCCGTATGGGAGTGTGGTTACAGGTGAACTGCAAAAGTTGGGGGAGGCATATCACAGTAAGCATGGAGAAGAGGGGCTACGAGGGCCATGCCCCAGTGTCTTATACCCTGGAGGTCAAAGCTCTCACTGAGGGATGACAGGAGATGGGGAGAGCAAGGAAAAGGAGGGACTAGAGTTAACCTCACCCCCTCCTTTGGGATAACAAGCTCTTGGAGGGCAGGAAATGAATGGGTCTTATTCCTCTCTCTACCCCCAGAGCCCAGAGCAGTCAGTGCCCGGCATAGAGGATCGGAGTAGAAGAATCCCCATTGGACCTTTACCATGTTGGCGATGGCAGAGGTGAACACAAGCAAGACTGAAAAGATGCCAACCACAGTGCTGTGTGCCCGAGAACGGACAATGCTGCGGGAAAGGCGTTGCAGGGCCTTGGGGAAGAGCTGCAGACAGGCAAGAGACCGAGAGTTAGAGACTGTGTCAGCCAAGGGGTAAGGCCAACCAGGGATGGGGCCCAGAACGGCCTGGCCTTCTCTTCCCTCTCCCCACATGATTCCTCACCACCCCGGCCCAGCCTGCCCTCCCCAACCAGCCCTGGAAGAACCCTCAACATACAGAGCCACAGGAGTACACGGCACAGGTCAGCACAGTGATCAGCAACAGCAGGAAGATACCGGCATAGATCCCAAGCATCAGGGTTGAGCTGGGGCAGAAGAGAGCCAGGGAAAATGTTACTCTGGAAGTTCCGGGCATCCTGTCCCACTCCCGAGGCTCCCAGGACTGTGAGCTTGCATGGGTGTTTAAGAAGGTTCTGGGAGGGGCGCCTAGGTGGCTCAGTCGGTTAAGCGTCCGACTTCAGCTCAGGTCATGATCTCACGATTCGTGGGTTCGAGCCCCACATTGGGCTCTGTGCTGATAGCTAGCTCAGAGTCTGGAGCCTGTCTTTGGATTCTGTGTCTCCCTCTCTCTCTGACCCTCCCCTGCTTACACTGTCTCTCTCTCTCTCTCTCTCAAAAATAAATAAAACAAAAAGGTTCTGGGAAGTGGTGGAGGGAAAAGAAACAGAGCAAGGAGGGGGAGGGCTCTCACTGTGGGAAAACGAGGAGTTGGATAAAGCAGATGAAGCAGAAGACCAACAGCGCACAGGCTACGTAGGCTCCGAAGCGGGGGTCCACCTTCCGTGAGTACTGAGGGAGAAGAGGCTGAGCTGGGTGCTGGGCTCTGCCCTGGGGGAGGCAGGGCACTGCCAGGGGCCTCAAGTAGGGGGAAGCAGTGGCCCAATTAATAGGAATCCCCCTGTGCCCTGTGGTCACCCCCCAAGCACCAAAAACCCTTCTGTTCCCTCAGTTGTGCTCAGCCTCCCCTTCTGGACCTCCCCTCATTCCCCAGCCCTCATCCCCCTTTGCCCTTAGCCTTTGGGGGCAAACCTTCTTTTCAAGATCCTCTCTCTGGAAGGTGAGCAGAAAGCGGCGCACATGGTCCTTCCGCAGTTGATCGATGCTGCGGGCATCAATGGCACGGCCCAGGAACTCATCTACCTCATCCTCAGGGTTCAGGGCATCTTGGGCACCCCGGCTGAGGGCAGGGGACATGGCTTCACCAGGGGCATTAGCCACGCCACGTGAGAGGCAATGAGAAAGGAGGGGCATGGGCAGCACCCAAAGAATGGAGTGTGGCTGTGTGGCACCTACTCCCACAAGACACACTTATGGCCCAGGAAAGAGGAGGATCTTGGCTCTCCCGCAGCCCTGTCCCAGGGTGCAAATGCCTTCTCCCTCCCTTTCCTCCCTCCTCGATAACCTGACTTACTTGTCTTTGCTGGAATCATCAATGCCCTGGAGAAAGGGACAAAGTGTGCAATGGGGTGAAGGGCAGACCACCTTCACCTCCACAATCCCTTCCCCAGCCCCGACACTGCGCTGAGTGTTCCCCCCATGCACTTTGAGGGGCTTGGGACCCCTGGTATGAAGTTATCCCTCCTGCCCCCAGCACCAGAAGTCATACACGGAGATGTATGAGCCACAACAAGGAAGGCCAAAAAGGGGAGGGGGAAACAGCCTGTTAGGAAAGTGAGGCCTCATGTCCTAGTGCTGTGGGCCCCTCACCATCTGGCGGAAAGCCTTGGAGTCCTTGGTCCGGGAGAAGGCACGCTCAGGCACCCAGCGTGGCATCAGCCCTTCCATGGAGTTGGCCCGCGTACGCTGCAGCTTGGCCAGCATGGCCTTCTCTTCTTTCTGTGCAGGAAGCACAGGTACAGGATCAGAAGAGGTTCCCAGAGATGTCTGTTTGCTCCCCTCATTTGCCCTTCTCCCTGCCTGCCCCCACCCCCCACCTGGACTGACCCGTTTCTGGCTGGCTCCCAGGATGAGGAAGGTCTCAATGTGCTGCTCCTTGAGGTATGCGTTACGCTCACCACCACGACCTGGCTCCACCTCGTAGTCCCCATTCAGGTACTGCAGTGTGGCCCGAGTGATATGGATGCGGCTGTGAGGGAACAGGAGGGTGAGACCTGGGCTGGCCCACCTCACTCCCATCCCTCACCACCTGGACCCCACACTCACCCGGCCCGGCCCCCCGCCTCCATGTGGTTGGCCAGAGTCACGTCATTGGACCACACATCGAATTGCCATTTCCGCAGGCCAAGGACGCCACAGTGTACACGCCCGCTGTGGATGCCCACGCGCATGTTCACGTTCACACCTGTCACCTCACGCACCAGCCTGGGAGGAGGCGGCTCCAGCTCAGCTTCTGGCACAGTCATCCCCATTCCCAGCCCAGAACTCGGGCCCTTCACTCCCCTCAGAGCCAAGCAGGTAGGGACAGGCCCAGATGCGGGACATGAGAGCACAGCCTTCGCTGGACATGGGCAAAAGGCTGCTTGGGTCTCAAGGACAAATGTTTAAGAACTGTGTTCACCAGCATCCTGTGGAATTGAGCTAGAAAGGGAGGAGTCACTATTCTCCCCTCAGGCCTGCTCAGCTAGCATTCTCACCAGCCCAAATCCCCCCACCATGGCTCCCTTACACTGCCTGGCTGGCTGGCATCTAAAGTGCACAGGCTGAAGAAAGATCCGTTCCCCTCCCAGGTGATGGATCTCCGAGACGGAGAAACAACCAAAACTGAGAAAAAATCCCAAGGACACATCAAAGGGTGGGAGCCAGCAGGGGCACCCTCAGTTCCAGGAAACCTGGGAGGGGCACTGCTTACGAGATGGCCTCGATCATGTCCACCCCCATCTCCACACAGCAGTGGGCATGGTCTGCTCGGGCCTCTGGCAGCCCCGACACACAGTAGTAACAGTCCCCTAAGATCTTGATCCTCAGGCAATGATTTTCCTAAAGGGGAGTGAGTTGGAGAGAGTCACTCTCACTCTCGTGCCCACCCAGCACCCTCACTGAGTCACCATCTACTCCCACCGCCCCAGACCATTCCAATGAGGCTATGTTCTCACCACATCCAGCCCTGCCCCCAGCCCCAGCACCCTCACCGCAGCCAGTTTGTCAAACCGGGCAAAGAGCTCATTCAGGGTCATGACCAGCTCCTGCGCAGTGCACTGGGATGCCAGGCTGGTGAAGCCTTCAATGTCTGCAAACAGGATGCTGTGGACAATGGCAGAAGATGGAAGGGCCATGTGGCCCTCAAAGACTCCCAGGTCCCCCATTCCTCCTGATATCCTCCCAGCCCCAACCCTACCTGACATTGTCATGCTTCTGGATGTAGATCTTATGGAACATCATATCTTCTTTCTTTGTGTTGATATCTTCTTTCATCTCCATGGCAACATGCTGGGGCAATACCGACAGCAGCAGCCGTTCCTAGACCAGTGGTTTCAACAGGGCACCACTATCTTCTTGGCCTCACACTGTAATCCCTCCTGTGCCTCCATAACCCCAGAATCCTCCCAGACCCCTCTGGGGACCTGAGCTTCCCTTCTGGGCCTCCCCTTTTAGAGCCTACAGCAGATATACCTCCCAGCCCTCTCTGACCACCCCCACGCAACCCCTCACTCATGCTCCCATCTACCCCCTCCCACCCTCAGACAGGACAGGAACCCCAGTGTCACAAGGCCTGTGTGGTGCACAAGCAGGGGGAACCATTCAGACTTATTCCGTGGAGTTGTACAAGGCAGCAGACCCCGTGTACAGGTTATTTGGGGGGAGGCCTTGGACAGGGAGAGCAGCCCCACCTGCTGCCGATTCTCATGCTGCAGGTGCAGCCGGGCCTGGATGTAACCACGGGTCTCCTGAAAGGCCTGGCGCTGAGACACTTCAGCCGGGTAGTGTGTACAGATGCCGATGACATTGGTACAGAGGAACAGCAGCATGTTGGCACCAAGCTGCAAGAGGATGGCAGAGGCAGAAGGGTGACCAACCCCCACCTGCGCACAGGTGCAACTTGCTATGCTCTTTGTGCATTCCTTCGGGGAGGAAGCCAGGATCCTGTGCCCCGTCTGTCCCCAAGCTGTCCCCACCCCTGTAATACATCTCCCCCTGCTCCCACAGGACTCCAGCCCCCTGCCTGGATCACTCCACAGCCAGAAATGAGAGCTTCTCACAACTCCTAGGAGCAGAAGCACCGACCAGGGCAAGGTGGGTCATGGGGCCGGGGCCCCACACACTATGACTTCCTGCCCCAGAATCGGCCCAAACAAAAGACAAATGCTGCTCCTTCTGCATATGGTTCTCCTCACAGGACCACACCCAGAAGACTCGAGCTCTATATCCTCCTGTGAATGCCCAGGACAAGTCATCTCATCTCTCTGGGCCTGTTTGCTCATCTAGAACCTGGAGAGGGACAATAAGAAGATTTCTAAGTTTCCTCCCTGCTCCAACATAACTTGATATACTACTAATAATTATCATTATTGGAGCTAATTTGTTGGCTGCCTCCAATATGCCTGACTTCTGTGACTGCCTCCTATACAGTAACTAATGGATTTCCAACTCTATGAAATAAAACTATCTCATTTTAAAGGTGAGGTATTCAAGCACAGAGAAACTAAGTAACTTGCCAAGATCACACAGCTAATAGTGGCTGGTGTGGGACGTGAATCCAGGACAGTCAGACTCCAAAGCCTCTGTCCAAACCCTACTGCTGGTACATTCCAGATTTCCAAGATTCCTACTTACTCCACTGACCCAAGCTCTTGAGGCCCAGCCTCGGAGCCCAGGCTTGGGAATCATCAATTGTACTATCATGAAAAACCATTCCTAACTACGAAGGGTTGCCACCATGCCCAGCACCCTTGATACTTGGCACAGCCAGGCCCCATGCCCGAGGACCCTGATCTCAGGGAGATCAACCCTCAATCAGTATCGGTGGCACTGACTGGAGAGCAAGTCTAATAAAAGCTGGCCTCGGTGTTTCTGGAAATTCAGGGGTTAACCTGGCACTTGTGGCTCCACCCCAGAGTTGGCTGGGGCAGGGCTCTGGTTTGGGGAGAAGGAAGGAAAAGAGCACCAACTGGAAGCAAGAAATTGGGCTTTGCCCAGAACCAGAACCACTCCTGCAAACTTGGGCAGGTCAGTTCATCTCTGGGACCTCAGCTTCATTTTTCCTAGGTGAAATAGAGGGGGAGGTTCAGCAAGCCCCCAGCTATTTCTAGCTCTGACCCTCTAGGACTGGCCTCGCAGCTTTCCTTCCCAGTCCAGCTCACAAGGCCCCCCTCCCAGCAGCAGGGGTGAAGAGGGGGGCACATTATCTCCCTCAGGGGTTTCTAAGAATAGCCCCCAGTGGGGGAGAAGAGAAGGGGGGGTAAACCAGGCAACTTCCCTTCCTGGCCCCAGGAGCCCAAGAGGAAAAAGTGAGTCATGGTGGAGGGAAGGGGAAGGGGGACGAGAGACTGAAATAGATCTGTACACAGACCCCTATCCCACTGTGAGAAAAAATGGATGCCAGGGTACTAGAGGAGACTCCGGGCTGGGCCAGGGTCACTGGGTGAAACTGCTCAATGTGTCTGAACGAGTGGGTCAGAGGAAAACGAAGCCGCCTTCCTATGAACATGAGCAGGGCTGGATCTGGAAAGGGGCTGCCCAAGGAGCCTAGAAAGGAGGCCACAGCCCCACACCATCCAGACACCCATAGGCCAAGTGAACACAGGGAATCCTTCTTAGTTCAGAGAAGGGGTATGGGCAACCCTGACTCCAAGGAATGGCACAGGGGCAGGGTGACTTCTCCACTCCCCCCCAAGAATGTGCCTGCTGAGACCTTCTGGGTAAGGCTGCAGCTAGGTCCCCCTGGGGAGGCAGGAGGCTGGCAGAGACCTGGCCTCCATGCGGCTGTACCTCCCCAATCAAGCCCTGGGCCTGGCTCTGGGCACCATGCCAGCTGAGAGCAGAGAAGAGATACCCACCCAGCCCTGGCCAGCCAGAGAGGAGGTGGGGGTAAAGTCACCACCTCCAAGCTCCTCCTTCCCCAGGAGGGTAGTCCAACTCCAAAGCCCAGGGCAACAGCTACCTGGTGAGAAGTGGGGGGGCTAGTAAAGGCAGAAAGACCCTGGCCCTTTAAGAGGTCTGACTACCCTGTGGGTGCGTGCTCCACAAACAAATGGCCTATAAAGTTACTTTTAAAAAGGTACGTTCTGTTCCAGAGCACAAGCTGGGTGGAGAAGGGCATCATGCCAGAGCACCCAGCTTCTCACCCTGGGAGCCCCAGGCAACTTCCTCTTTGTGGGTGGGGCTAGGGTGGGCTACAGGCCACAAACACTAGGCAAGGCAGAGGCCAACTACCTTAATTAAACCTTGAGCAAGACAGAGGATAGCACCCTCAAAATCAGGGTGCCAGCACAGGGACCATGAGGTGTGTTGGTTAGGGGCCGGGTCTAGAGCAGCCCCTGAAGGACCAGCTGGGCAAGATGTCCTGGTCTCTGCTCCCTGGTCAGGGGAATGACCCGAGATGGCGACTCCCCGTGCTCCTGTCTCTCTGAAAGGGACTTCTGGGAGGGCCCTTCCTTCCCTGGGTTCTATCCCCTACAGCGCTCCCACCCCTCCCTGCCCCCAGGTGAGAACCCTGCCCCGCCAGGTTCCACTCCACTCTGGGAGAGGGTGGAGACCCAACAGCAACATCATGAGGTGGATACTATTTTTATCCCACGTTTGCAAACCGGGAAGAAGGCTGGGAGAAGTAAGGTTAGCTGTCTAAGAGCTCTCAGAAAAGAACCCAGCCCATTGGACAACAACATCTGCCCAGAGCCAACCCTTCTTTCTCACTCAACACCATGCTGTCAAGCCCCACCCCACACACCACTCAGAACCCGGATGCAGTAGCTGGCATGGGCAGAGAACCTCAAGCAGGGCTGCCAGACCCCCGGTGCTCAGTGGGCAGAGGGTAGATCAGACCCTGGTGCCCTTCTTCTCTACTGCCCAATCCCACTCAAATCACTCCCAGCCCAGGAGAAAATGAAGCCTACTCATCACCCTCCCTGTCCTCTCAGAGACTGCTTTGGTCCAGGAGAGAAGCAACTCCTCTCTTGCTAACTCCATCCAAACCCCACAGATCCCTCGAGATCACCACTTGGAGCTGCTTTTCAGGGATGGCACCAAGGCCTGAGTCTTATGTATCAACTTGGGGCCAGAGGTGTGCCAACACTGCTCTCTCAACCCCACCCCTGCCCTGGGGCTAAACATCACATTCCCCTCTCCAGCCCTACATCAGGTCTATAGGCTACCCTATTGCAGGGGCCTCAGACCAAAGAGCTGTAGACTGTGGCCCATGGTGACAGAGTGCAGCTGGGTCCTAGGGCCCTCCCTCTCCTCAGCAGTGCCCTCTTGCAGCTGGGTCCTAGGGCCCTCCCTCTCCTCAGCAGTGCCCTCTGTTCCAGATCCCAGATGGAGCTGACGCCTGAAACCTCACCTCCCATCAACTGCCCTTCCTCTTGGACACAACCAGACATCTCTGCACCCAGTCCCCACCCACCCTCGATTACCAGACCCCTTCTCATTCCCGGCATGGTGCCCCTAAGCACTATCTTATGCCTGCTTCCTGACTACCTACCTGCTTCCAGAGGAAGGCATCACCATGGTTGAGCTGCCAGGCCAAGATCAGATGCAGGGTGGAGAGGCCCAGGCCACTGAAGACAGCCGCCCGCATGCGGATAGGCAGGAGCGTGTAGGTGATGTAGACAAAAAACACGGGGCACCAGAGGCCCACAGAGGGGCTGCGGGGGTTGGCTGCCAGGGCACCCCCAATCAGCACAGCTGCTAGGATGCCCAGCACCACGTAGCTCACCACCCACATGGAGTCCTGGCGGAAGCTGTGCCGGTTACACACCACCATGAGCGCCACAAAGAGGGTGGCGGCACAGGCCAGCAGGGCCACATAGGCAGGCTGAGGGCGGGCAGGTGCGGCATGAAAGGCTAGCAGCACGGCAGTCAGCAGCACCAGCACTGCCATCAGCAGAGTCAGGCTGCTCTGGTTCATCTGAAAGAAGTACCGCTGGTACAGGCGCTCCAGCTTGGCCGAGCGGAACTGCTTGGACTGGAACACCTGGGCCAAACGGCGCCAGCAGGACCGCCTACCCCTGGCTGCCACGTCAGGTGCCACCTCGGCTGCCCTGACCGCTGCCATTGCCTCAGTGTCCTCAAAGCCCAGGGCCACCGCCCGCAGCCCCAGCTCCTTGCCTGGGCCACCTCTCCGGATGAAGGTCTCATCCTGCCAGGGGCACCGAGGGGGAGCTGCAGGGGTGGGGCTGGGGGGCTGTGCATCCCGGAGGCAGCTCATATAGCGGGGCGTGCAGAAGCCACTGGTCCGAGTCCCACGGCGTGGACGCTTCTGCCCATTGCGTTCACCCCAGGCTGTTTTCCGTTCATCCACCTTGGGGACCAGGAGACCACTAAACCAGGACATGCTGCCGAGAGAAAGAAATGAGTTAGTATTAACACCGCCATCACAGCCTACCACCACCAGTAGCTACCATAAATCGAGTACTTCCACAGTCAAGCTAAGCACTTCCAATACCACCACTCACATAAAATTATGGCGGAAGACGATGGGATCCCCATTCAATAGGTGAGGAAACTGAGACAGAAGCAGGTGGGTAACTCGCCCTAGATCAAGCAGCCACGGAGGTGTGCGAACCAAGATTCTAACCTAGATCTGCCAGACTCCAAAGAGGTACGCTTCAACATTCACCTCTTCCCTAAAAAACACTGATTACTGGGTGGTTACAAGCGTATGTGCCTGCATCAATAAGCAACGGAGATCTGGGAGGAACTGAAAAGTCCACCCCTGAGCGCCAGGGCAGGCAGCACTCAACACCAGTACATAGCTGGCACGGGCATCCCAGCAGAGCCTGATCTTCTGAGTTTCAACAGAAGCTGAAAAAAATGTACATTTTAACGTGACATCTCCTGAGTTTCAAATGCTGGCAAGTAACTCACATTTTTCAACACTGCCAGCCAAATAAATCACGTCTATGGAATGAATTCAGCCTGTGAGCTGCCAATCGGTGACCTCTATACAAAAGGGAATCTCTTTCCACATTGTTCCTCATCACACTCACACCATGCACACTTCACCAAGCCAAATTCAACTTCTTCCTCGGGTCACGGCTTAGATGGAACTTCCTCAGGGAAGATGTCCCAGCTCCCCGCACCCACACTAAATTTGGCCCCCTGTGTACCCTCTGTATATTTCCTCCATAGTATATATCACAATTAAATTGCCCCTGGTTCATGGGTCCCCATCCCTGTCACTATAAACTCCATGAGGGCAGGGACTGTACTGTTTTGCCCAGCACCTTAGCCCCAGCACCAAGTACTGAGCCTGGCCCACGGTAAGGACTCAAAAAACGTATGTTGAAAAGACAGGAGTGAAAGCTCAAGGACATTGGCATAAAGCAGCTACTGTGTAATAATAATAAAGAGTGTTAATGCTGTGATTCTTCATCTTTCTCACTGCACTCCAGTTCTATTAGCCTCCTTGCTGGTCCCCAACACAGCATGCATGGGCCCGCCTGGGACTGCGGTGCCCGCTGCCAGAAACAAGAGCTCCCCCGGGTCACAGCTCAAATGTCCCCTTATCAGTGAGTCTTTCCCTGACCGTTCTATTAAAATAGCAACCCTCTTTCCTGGCTCTCCCTATCTTTCTTCCCAGCTTCATGCTTTATTTTTCTCCACAGCTCTTATCAGCAACTGCCATTCTATATATTTTCCTTATTTGCTCATTGTCTCTCCTCACTGGAAAGTCAGCCTCATGAAGGCAGGGATTTGGGCCCATTTCGCTCCCTGCTGTATCTGCAAACACCTAGTTGAGTCTAAATAAGTGTTCCTAGAGTGGCTGGGTGGATAATACTTTCTCTTTGCTTTAAGCTCTTCAAGGTCCCTTTCACATACCTAATTCCATCTGATCTTCACCAAAGTCCTGTGAAGCTGCTCCTATGGCCACCTTGCGCACAGATTTGACGGGGGGGGGGGGGGGAGAAAAGGAAAGAAAACAAAGTCCACAGCAGTTTTACACAGCTGGTCAAGTTATAGAGATCCCAGGCCACCAAATCAGTCTCAGACCTCAGGTCTCCTGGAGGGTAGTGCCTTGAATTGGGGTGGGAAGGACTCCATGACAACACCCTCAAAGTGTCTTGAGCGCAGCTCAAGAGAAAGCGTGGATGACAGCATGGTCATCCACAGATGCCTGTCTCCCTATGAGAGCCACACTCCTCCATGTTCACAAGGCACCCTAGGACTCCTTGTATTTAAACCTTCAGAGCTAGCAGCCTTGACATTTGTCCTCACTAGGGGACACCAGGGGAGAATGCCCACAGGATCAGCTGCTCAAGGTAGACAATGGCACTTGAACAGACACCCAGAAGCCCACTGAACAGAAGGCAGACTGGGGACCTCACTGCATGCTGGAAACCCACATCCCTGCTTCACCCTCAGCCAACTTCTCTCAGCATCCATTCTCCCATATGCCACAGAGTAGCGTGCCGTTCTAACATCACCAACAGCACCCTCTGGAAGGACAGATCAGAAATCCAAGGCTGTGGGTCAGGTTGGCATTTGGAAAAAGTCACCAAAGGAAGCCTGGTTCTTCAAAATACTTCATTAGAAACATTATCTTTTGTTTATTTTTAAAAATTTTTTTAATGTTTTATTTATTTCTGAAGAGAGAGACAGCATGAACAGGGGAGGGTCAGAGAGAGAGGAAGATAAGGAATCTGAAACAGGCGGGGCGCCTGGGTGGCTTAGTCAGTTAAGTGTCCGACTTTCGCTTAGGTCATGATCTCGCGGTTCGTGGGTTCGAGCCCCGCGTCGGGCTCTGTGCTGACTGCCAGCTCACAGCCTGGAGCCTGTTTCAGTCTGTGGCTCCCTCTCTCTCTGACCCTTCCCTACTCACGCTGTCTCTCTCTCTCTCTCCTAGAAATAAATAAAACATTAAAAAAAAAAAAAAAAGAATCTGAAACAGGCTCCAGGCTCTGAGCTCGCCGTGAGCACAGAGCCTGACGCGGGGCTCCAAACCATGAACTGTGAGACCGTGACCTGAGCCGAAGTCGGACGCTTAACCGACTGAGCCACCCAGGCGCCCCTAGAAGCATGACCTTTGGAGCAAGACTAGGCTTCAAACCTTAGGGTAGTTACATGCTAGCTGCACAGCCTTGAACAAGTTACTATCTCCCTGCATCAGTTTCTTCATCTGTAAAATGGGAATAGTAATAGTTGTAAAAAAAAAAAAAAAAATCCAACAGTGTCTGTCACATAGCACACACTTGATAAGTTATGAGTTCTTCTCCCCCATCCTACACCACTTTGAACCCAAATCTCTGCCAGTGTCCAAGAAACGGAAAGACAGAAGAGCCAGAAGCAAGAACACACATCTCCCCAGCCAGTCAAACACCTGGTTCTATCAGTCCCCATGTCCTTCGCTGTTGGTCCCCAGAACTGCTGGAGACGGAGCCCAGAGTGAGCAGATTTCCCATCACCCCCACCATGACATTTTGCTTCAGCCTCCTCCTACTTGCCAGTCCCCTGCCCTGTATTAACCATTCCTCCCCCCTCCAAATGGCCCAGACCTCTGTTCCCAAAGGACCTGTTTCTGGCTATGTTCCCAGCCTCCTGGAAGCACGTCCTAGCATCTGGCTCATACCCACAGAGGAAGGGGCAGACACTGTCCAGGAGAATGCATGACCATCCCCAGAACACTCTGACCCCCCCCAAGGGGATAGCTTCAGAGCTATGTGATTGTCCAACTGACTGCAACCATCCCACCTGGGACTCCAACCCAAGCACTGCCCACCTTGGAGAACTCACCAGGTTCCTAACACTCCTGGCACCCCAGACTAGGCTGGTACGACAAGGAACAGGGGAGGGCACTGATCAAAGCCACAAAACTTCCCTATATGGTCCCCGAACCTTCGTTGTCCAGAAATAATCCGTCACTCTGAACCACAGACCACCTCTCTCTTCCCCAGGGACAGGCTCCTGAACCACTGCCTCCAACCTTTTCCGCCCCTGGGTCCTGGTCCTTTGCTCTCTCTCACAGATGGGCTGCTCCAGACATCACCAGCTCCCACAGCCACAGCCACATCCATTCAGCTTGGCAGCTGGAGGCCCAGTGCCTCCCAGACCTCAAGTCCCTCCCAACCCTGATTCTCCAGCCTAAGACCCAGAGTCTGAAGCAGGCCAAGGCCCAGCCCCAAGGATAGCTCTGCCCACTGCTTTGCCCAAACCCTCTTCCTGGCCACCTCTGTCTGTCCCTACCCCTGCCCTCCTTGGCAGAAGGAGGCTCCATGGGATTTAAAGTGACTTCAGAAAATTCATGGTAGAAGGCGCTGCCCAGGCAGGGCCCTTCAGTGCCAACACCGCCCACCGTGCTGGGAAGTGGGCCTCAATTCCAGGCCTCTCCAGATGTAGACGAGCCTCCCCCAAGGCCTGAATCTGGAGGTCCAGGACTGCCTTGGCCTCGCTTCCCCAGCCTTCAGTCTCCCTAAAGACTGCAGAAGGCTCCCACTTCCACACCCAAGCACACAACCTCCACCAGATTTTTCCATCTCACAGGGGTGTTCTGGTAAGGGGAGGGGAGGGGGTAAGAGTCTCCACCTCAGGATTCCACTTCTATGTTTTCAGTCAGGCCTTGTTCAGAATAAAGTCTGCCCCCCCCTTGACCCCCTGCAGCGGGCCTTGACACCACCCTTTTCATCGCCCAGCTCTGGGGTTAGGGGAGGGGGGGGAAACTCCTGCAGGCGGAGGGCATCCATCCCGCCACCCAGACTGCCCTCCTCCCGTAAACACAATCACAGTCTACCCCAAATTCGGTAGCTCACCCCACAGCCCCTCTGCGAAAACCTCGGCCAGCCCCTCCCCCAACACATGCCTTTCCCCTAGTCCCAGCAAACCTAGCACTCGCTTCGGGTGGAGGAAAGGGGTGAGGGTGGGAGGCTTGAGCCCCCGATCTCCTCCCCGATTTCTCAGTCCAGTCCCAATGGCCTCAGACTCGCCTCCAAACATTACCGAGACTCCCCAACACACGCTTCTGTGCCCCAACAAAAACCCCTCACTCTCCGATGCCGCGCGGGAGTCTTCACGCCCCCCCCGCCTCCTCCCCCACCCCCTCCCCCACCCCCCCAGACCCGAGCGCCCGGCGCCGCCGCTCCCCCCACCGCTCCTCCGCGCGGGCTCACCTGCCTGCCCGGCTCCGCGCCTCCCCCGGGTCCCCGCCCCGCCGCTGCCGCGGGCTCCGGCCGGGAGGCCGGCCGTCCCGCGGTCCTGCTCCGTGCCCGCGCGTCCCGGCCGTCCCTCCCGCCGTCCGCAGTCCGCCCGGCCCGCGCCCCCTCCTAGCTGGCCAGCGCAGCCGCCCTCTACCCCGGATCCAGAAGTCCCCTCCCCGCCGGCTCCCGGACTCCCCGCCTTAAAGGCACAAGCTCCTATTGTCTGGGCGCCCCCTCCCCCTCCGCCTCCTGAGCCCCGCGCTGGGGCCCACTCCCCTTCCGAGGAGCTGGGTAGGGGTGGGGGAGCCCGAGCAGCGCCCCTCCCTCTGAGCGCCCCCTCCTCTCTCCGGCCGCTCCCTCCCCCAGTCCTGGGAAAACAAGTGGCTTCTGTTCTGGATCAAGACCCCAGGGGACGGGGCCGTCCCGCCCGCTGCCCCTTCCCTCCACCCCTGGATGCCTCCTGCAGCGTTCTCCGCCCACCCTCACCCAGGGGTTCCCCTAGCGCGCCAGCAAACCCACTCTTTCTGAGCGATTACCCACCGCCCCCCACCCCCGCGCCCGGAGGGTCGGCTTCCTTCCGGCCGGGGTCCCCCGGGGCTGAATCGGTGTCCCGCGCCCACCCCTCAATCTTCCTCCCTCCCCCAGCCCCCACCCTGCCATTCCCGCCCAGCCGCCACGGCCCCGCTCCCTCCCGCGGGAACTCAGTTTAATAATTAATTAAGATTTCATTCCACCGGGCGCCAGGTGTGTGCGGCCTGCTTCCCCACAAGCCACTTGTTTCCTCCTCCCCCCCTCCTGGGGCACCGGCCCGACGCGAACCTGCTGCACCTATAGCTCAAGAGGGTGACTGAAGGCAGGGGCGCTCTCCCCGCGGCCCGCTGCCCCACTCTCACTCGGCAGCTCCTCCCTCGCACCTGCAGACCGGCAGAGCCCCTCCCCCGGGCACCTTTTACCCAAAGGGTTGGGCTTCCCTGCAGAGGGTGGGGGCGAAGAGGGGTGCATTCCTACGTCCACGTACTGAGAAATTGTTTGAGATTTTTATTTATTTCCCACGTTTTTCTTGCACAAAGCTGCAACCCAAGTTACCTGGGTGACGGGAAAATCACGTGGAAGCTGCTTTAACCCTTAAAGGGTTTGAAACATGCTACAGCCAGATAGGGGAAGTGAGTTAATTCCCGGAATGGAGATGAGTCTGACTTTGGAACCGAGTGCCATTCATTACTCCAGAGCTGGGAAGAGGGCAGCTTGCCTGGCTTCCCTTAGAGCCTGGCTAGTGGTTCCCTCGCACACACCCGTGGCTTCTTCTCCCGTGGCGGCTTCTTCCCCACCCAGGGTCCCACCTCAGCTCCCTCCTCAGCGCCTTCTACATTGTAGATCTTCAAAGCCCGACTCACTTCCCGCCAAATCCCCATTGGGGTTCCTAAATCCGGGATAGAGCTTGAGACGAGGAAGAGAGGGGAGGAATTAAGGAAGTCTGTTTCCATCGCTCATCAGCCATATGTAATAGTAAACTATGTGCTTTGGTAAATCATCACTTACCCTCTTGGAGCCTCATGTATAAAATGGGAATTTTTATTAAGATTTTCTTTTTAAAGTAAATAAGTCAGAGAAAGATATCGTATGATATCACTCATGTGTGGAATTTTGAGAAACTTAAGAGATGGACATAGGGGAAGGGAAAGAAAAATAAGATAAAAACAGAGAGGGAGGCAAACCGTAAGAGACTTAAGTACAGGGGCGCCTGGGTGGCTCAGACGGTTAAGCATC